ATTATAAAATAGTCACTTATTTTATATTTAATAAGAAATGCCACATATTCTTTACATTGTGCACCTTAATCACCATATATACATCATTACTAAGGTCTTATTTCAAGAATGCGTTGTTGACATCACTTTGTTTAATTTGCGATATGTTTGTACCTGTCAATGAAAGTAGAATATGAACTGTAAAAGTAACTACTATGCTAAATTTGTCCAAGAAGTCAGAACCTGGAATTTGAGAAAATACCTTAGCAACAGGTCGTGATATGAATCGATTAACCGACACATTTGCATTCTACTTGACCTTAAAGAGACATTTGCAACTGATGACTTGTCTTTTTACAGACAGATCAACTATCTCCTATGTTTGATTATTCTGCAGTGCATCATACTCAACATACATTTCATTCCTATGTTGGAGGGCTTTACAAGTTTTGGAACATGTTGAACATGAAATAATTTGGGTTTAAAAACCCCTACTTTTTCTTTTAGTAACCATGGGTGTCGATTAATCACTTGTTCATTGCAAGTGATTACCACTGGGATTGAAGTTGTTATCTCACATGGTAATGATTCTGCTGTTTTAGGACTAGGGGTGCTTGACGAGGTGAATGCCTCTTCCTCACTAGATGAAAAAGTCTACTACACTAGTTGTTTCACTGATGTTTGGTGCTTCTGTTACACATTATAGTATAGTTGTTGTCTCATATGTATTATCTATTGCTGTTAGTACAGTAGATGTCTCACCGCAGCTTTTTCTTTTTCTCGGCAATAAAATTTTATTAGAAGGATTTAAATCATATAAATCTACTTGTATGCCTCATTAAAAATCTCTCCATTACTATGTGGGAAAAGAGTACACACAACACAACCAAGAACAATGCAAAAAGAACTAGAAGACCAATAAACTCTCACTTAACCTACTTTATAGAATGTACTAAATACCAATAACTCCATGTCACAGTCCCTAGACAACCCAACTTTTTAGATGGTCCGCCTTAAATTTTCGATCTCACGGAACAAAACAAAACTGAACCATACCCATCGGTCAAGCTGGCCGATCAAGCTAGACAAACATAATCCACCATTGTCAAAGGCATATTAACAGAGTACAAACCAAAAAAGGGTCACCTTTCTTGACTGAAGAAGCTCCCCCACCTTTTCTGATAAAGCCTGAAACATACGAAAGCAAGTCTATAACTTTGTCCTCTTCCTCTCCTACCTGGATCTCGAGATGATCTACAAACCATGTGAATGCACCCTTACAAGTAACACTATAAGCAAGCAAAGAAAATCACCCTTATAATCTATCGAGAGATTCCAAAACCAAAGAAAAGATACCCTTAATACAAGCATCACCAACTAAAAGCATAGAAAGCCACTCTCTTGGACTAGTGAGATAATCCAAAACCCATGACAAGACATCATTTCTAGCAAACCATTATAAGCAAAGAAACACACGATAAGACACCCTAATCCTAACAAGAATTCTTCTTTAGTGGTAGCCACATTAACAGGCACCACCATCAACCACTGCACAACATTTATGGATCACCATTTAGAGCCTATCTCGGTTATCAATTAAGAACCGTCAATGACCCGAAAATACTCAAGACCCCACCTCCGAAACGCACCACGCCCCCACGTCTTGTTATCACGTCATCTTTTTCCTACAAAACTCTTCTGCAGAACTTCTCAGTATTTTAAAATGTTCCAGTGGCACCGGAAGATCGTATCAGAAGGATATTCAGAGCTACATATATCAACGAAAATACAAACAATAGTCGTTTTAGCAATGAGATGGTTCATTGATCAACTGTATGAAAAAATGCTTCAGAAGACCCGACCAAAGCCACAAAAATGAATATAGAAACAAAAAAACGGAGGGCTATTGAAGCTTCTCCAGCACTCCAATACTGGCAAACTTTCTTTAAAAGAAAGAATCACCAACCTGACCACCAAGCTCCCTCGATAACTGATCTTTTTCTTCCAAAAGCGCTAACTCTTTGATTACCTCGCGCTCATTCCTTATGATTTGTATGCCCAGGACCTTCCCCAGTTCCAAAGCCTTCTTTGCCTCTTTTGTGCATATATTCCATGTAATTTGTAAATCTGAGTCTGACAGCGAACTTCCTTCAATTGCTAGACAATCCGAGTCATTCTCATTTTTCTTCAGTCTTCTTTGAGCACGATCTCTTCTTTTCCTCTCTGCTTCTGTTAAGAATCTATTTTGAAATTCCTGAAGCGACCCATATTTCTTCCTTCTATTTACTTTTACTTTGGGGTGTAGCTGAGAAGATTCAAGACGAGAACCTTCCACCTTCTTTTGCTCCTTGTCACCTGATAGAGACCCGTCTTCAACTCCCTTTTCTCTTTCAACACTTTTCAGCTGATTATTCATTTTATCCACTCTAACAGCCCAAGTTAATTTATTTCCTGTTGGCCCGAACTGATTTGATTCTTCAACAATTTCAACACCATATTCATTATCAGCTTCGATTCCTTCCTTGTGATGCCGTTTTGTTAAGTTCATTTGTTATAAATTATTGGTTGCTGCTGCATAGCATTGCTCGTCATGAAACACACGAGGAAATAATGGAGACTGATAGGTAAAATGCTTAACTTGAATTTGTTTAGCTTGATCAGTAAAGAGAAATCTTGATTTATTGAATTTAACATGCCTTGGAATGAACACTATGCCTCCTTTGTTAAGATATTGATATCCTCTGTATTTTGGCGAATAACCGGAGAACACATAAGGTCTCGACATATAGTCTAATTTGTGTCTGATAAAGGGCGTCAAACGGGGAAACAATCGTATCCAAATACTCACTAAAATTGATAATCAGAAACATGGACATATAGCTTCTGATGTGGTGACTTACCTCCCAACAATTTTGATGGTAGCCTGTTGATTAGAAAAACTACACTCAAGATGGCATACAACCAATATTAAAGAGGCAGTTAGGATTGTTAAATTAATGTAAGGCAATATCCACCAAATGCATATGTTTCTTTCCACAACTCTATTCTACTAAGAGACTGAAGGACATGTGATTCTGTGTTGCACATCGTTCTTGTGAAACAATGCTTTAAGCGGATGAAACTCACCTCCACCATTAGTCTGAACAGAAAATATTTGCATTAAATTGATTTGCAACCAGCGTAGTGAACATTTAAAAGGCTGCCATAATATCATAATTGCTTTTAAATAAATAAACACAGCAGTTCCTTCTGAGCATATCAACAATTCAAAAATAGTAACAGAGTCTAATAAAATGCAAAGGGACAGATTCCCACAAATCCATTTCAATAAGCTCAAATGGTTTTGTATACACTATAGTTGAAGAATGAAAGGATAATGAGTGTCTTTTATCCACCTGACACGCTCTAAACAAATCACATTTATTAATAAAAATGATAACTCTTTAAAAGAGTTATTATTTAGAGTATTTCTACTTGGGTAAAACTTGTACTTTAACATTTTAGGATCATATTTAGATTATTTTTAGTATATTTTACATTACATGCATGCTGAGAGTGAGTTAGTGGATTTTGAGTTAATTTTGATATATTTTAGTGTGACATTGCTATGATTTAATTTGCTCTAATACTGCGAGTTATTTGATGTTGTCAGATATTGTTGCGAGCAGCTAGAGGCAGGATTGTGGTGCATTCAGATCCATTATTGTATCATTTGATGAGTCAGCTGGCGGTTAGAGGAAATATTCTAGAATCAGACAACTATTCATTCATGCTATTAAAAGGATAGAAATTAAAGAAAAATAAGAAATTTTCTATTGGTGGATGCTTTGACCTTGGAGGATTATATAAGGGCAAGCCTTCACACATTTTTCCTTACCTTTTTCATCTTGTAAATTTAGTCTTCTTCTCCTTGCTTTTCTTACCGTCGGCCATGGAAGCTTGAGCATCTTAAGAAAACAACAATAGGACGTGGAAGTAGCCATAATCGAGAAGGAGGTGACTGATGATCGATTGAGCGTCAACTTAGCAACTTAGAATCAAACCCGAGAGGGAGGTTTTAATTTGTTTAAGTTGAATACTTTTATTTTATATTTGGGATATTAAACCTGAGAGTGTTAATAGGAGAATTCTCCACTAAAAGTGCCTTGTAGATGAATTGAAAAAAAAAAAGATCATATGGATCGAAGATTAATCATGATTTCTAAATTTACCATATAGTTGAAATCGAGGTCTCTTTTGTCCTCTATTTATATCGCCAATATTGCCTCTAGATTGTTGTCTTTGTGGCCCGTAACTGTGATCATTAGCATGATCAAGACCCCTAGTGGTGTAATGAGATAATTAATTCTTACTAAAAGTCGTAATTTATCTAACAATAATGAAACTTGATATTTGATCAAGATGGTTTGACCCAGATACCAAAAGACACATTATTCACTAAAGTCACTCTTAGTATTAAAGATTTCTTTCGATGCACGAGTGACCTTTTTGGAGACTAAGGGGCTGTTTGTTAAAACTGAATGGTTTAGCACTGAATGATTTAGCAGTCTGAATGATTAAGAGGCTCTGTATGATATAGTTTTGAATAGAAAGTTTGTTTGATAATACATCTGAATGGCCGGTCTGAATGACAAAAAATTACCATATTACCCTTCTGTATGATTTTGTGCCAAAATAAAATATATTTGTTTCTACCTTGTGAATAAATGCTAAAAAAATATTTTACTTTTTGATGTTTATAAAAATACTTTTTTTTGTCAAAATTAGCAACAATCATAACAAAATATAAAATCAAGTAACTTAAAAACACATTTTTTAGACAATTTATCAACATTCATAATAAACAAATCTACTAACATGAAATGGCATAAAAGAGTGGTTTATATTTTTGATGAAACAAAATACATAACAAGCATTCTTTTGTTCTAGACAAATCAACCCAAAAAAAGATATTAATTTGAAGCATTTAAAAACAACTGATTAGCAATGTGATCACGTAGATTAGCCATATACTCATTGCCTTAAGGACCCCATTCAACTCCATTTATCTCGTCTTGTTCGTTTCCATTATCTTGTTCTTCAGAAGCAAACATGTTGTTCTCGTCGAAATCCATAAATAATTGATCATAAACTTTGCATTTTCTTATAAAATTATGGACCGCAAAACATGCAATCACTATGTCTCGTTGTATTGGAAAAGGATAAGGAGCCATTTGCTTTAGGATTGGGAATCTTGCTTTCAGAACTCCGTAGGCACGCTCTATAACATTTCTAAGCTGTGCATGAGCATGATTGAACCTTTCCTCCTTGGTTACGGCACGTTGACGTCGAAAATCTGCTAGCCAATACCTCGTATTACGATATGGAGTCATAAAGCCACGTGTGTTGGTATATGCAGCATCACAAAGGTAATACTTATCTGTTATTTATATATAAGCATTAAAATTTTGTTACAAAAAACTATAAATAAATGTAATGAATTAAAACATTTTAATACGATAGAAAGAAATGATATATACCTTGTGGAGGAAAAGGAAAACCCGAGTTTGGATTAAATGCAACTTCTGTCAAAACTCTAGAATCATGTGCTATGCCCTCCCATCCAGCCCACACAAATGTGAATATCATATCAAAATCACAAATTGCCAAGACATTTTGATAACATTCACCCTTTCCTCTTCCTCTATAACGAGCTTGTTGATCGATAGGAACTACTGCATGTACGAGTGTTCCATCTAGTGCACCTACTGCACCCTTTATTGAAGAACATAAATGATAAGAAGCTGAAACATTATTTTTTGGGTGATAACAAAAAATATATAAAAAAACATACCGAAAATATTTCTCGTAGGTGTTTTTGTCTTTGCGTCATATTCGGTGTTGTTTCTTGTGATGTTGTAACTATTATTTCTCTTGCGAATTTTATCATTGCACGTCGTACCTCATGAAAGCATTTATGAATGGTTTGTGTGGAGTGTTGGAATCTCCTTTTAACCATTCGAAAACGTTCATTATGGCCTATAATTGTTAGAAATATAGCCATTTTCTCTTCCACGGTTATCATCCTACTATTTTGCAACCATTTTCTTTTTTTAAAATGGTTACATAACAGTATATACGCATCACGAGATAGACGCATTAATTCATGGCATTGTGTATTCGACCCAAATAACAATTCTTGTGTATATGCATGTCCAGTCAATGTTGAATTATTGTCTCGAATTCTTTCAACTCTTGGTGATGCATTTACCATCCAAAACCACCATATAATGATTAGAAACACTTCATCGTCATTTAAATCCAATATAGCACCTAGTCGAAACAAAATATAAAAGACATCATCAAAAAGACACATATCTAATATATCCATTGGTGAACTAACAACATATACAGCTTGATTCTACGGTTTTTTCTTATATTTAGAGGACCAGAACTCCATATATCCATTGGTATATTAATTTCTATGGTCTAATAACATATCTAGGCTATTAATTTATAGTGTAAAAAACTGATGCTTTAGTCAATTGGTTACTACACTGAAATAAAATTAGTTATTAACGAGAAGACAAATTTATTCACTGAACCTAAAATTACAGGATTATACCAATTTTTCTCCCCTATTTTGTGATGGAACTTATTGCACTCATAGTATATATATGTCATTTTTACATATAAGTTTGATGTCTTTCCCTTGACTTATATCAATGCCATTTGGTACAAAACAATGCTTAATAGCAAAAGAATGAGAGAAATCCATGTGTACCTAATAGCAGTGAGCACTGAGCAGAAAATCGGAAGCAAAGGTCAAAGGGTAGTAGTTGTAGCAACCGGCAGTTGACAGAAATGAGCGGAAGGAGAGCAGATGAGCAGCAAATGGTTGAAGCCGGCCGCAAGCAAACGATAGCTATGTCATTCAAGTTGCATAAATTAATAAACCCAAAATTGAAATATAAAAGATAACATTCAACATAGTAACAAATTGAACTTTGATAAACCAATTAGCAGGGAGGAGCAATCAGTTTAATCAGTCAGTTTAGTCGAATTTTTCATGTAAACTGACTTAACCGATATTACTAATAGATAACTGACCAGATCAAAATCATTTGTCTAAAGCAATCAAACCGAAGCGATATAACTTGGGCGGGTTATTTCAGTTACTGAAGTTTTTTTTTAAAAAAATGGATTTTCTTGCTACTGCCGTAATTTATTCCATTATGCATGATAAAAAAAACCCGACAATTCATCAAAGCTAAGCATTTATACAAATAGAGAGCTAAAGAATATTCACAACATTTGCAAGCAGAGTGCAACAATATTGATTCTTCAACTCTCAAGCAAAATAACTCAACTCTTTCGATACTTTTACATGACAATATTCACAACTTTTGCAAGCATTAAATTTTGTAACAAATTTTGCAAGCAGATTGACATAGTGGCAGTGCTTAATGAAAGCAAAACATAGTTCCCTAGCTTTCTGTTACAAATTTATTCTAAATGACCCAAGTTCAGATTTATATATTGAATGGAAGCCGAAGGACATTAACACTGTCTTATCGACATGGTTCTCAAACAATATGATATATGTCAATGATTTATTCATGAACTAAAATGTTTAACTGCATATTTGCTACTTCACAAAAGAACACAGATTGACAACAAAATATGTTCAAGACACAGGCTTATGAAGCTCATTTATTGCAGATTGAAACAAAATCAGCAGCAAATTGTTTTAGGTGAGCATTTATGTAATCATCAAACACTGTCACAATACCATAACCACGAGGAATAATTTGAAAAGCAAAAACATGTAGGTGATGAGTGTTTTTGCTATATTCAACCAACTTCTTAGAGTCAATAATTACATTTACACAATAATTAAAGTCATATATGAATAACTTCAATAATTACATTTACACAATACAATCAGATTTTGTCTTTGCATAATGTACTGCACCAAATCAATCATACTGACAATCAGATCTAAGAATCACATAAATAAAAACTCTTCCTTGGGTTCAGAAGGAACAATTTCCCTAATTTAAAATAAAACTAAAATGGCTCCTAAAATTTCTGCAAAATGGGTTCACAGAACACGATAGAAGCAGGAAAAAAAAAACAAATCAATTTGCCAAAGCACATTAACACAGATCCAGCAAGCAGGTAAAGCGAAGTAAATGTAATAATTTTGAAGTAAACAATGGACCAATAAATGACTGGAAACTCTAAGAAACAAGAGACGAAAAGAATCTAGCTGAAATCGAGATCTGAAACGAAAATCTAACAAAAGATTTAACTGATTGAAGAAAAGGAGTTACTTATCAGTGGAGGAACAAGAAGATGGTGAAGAAGAAGTAACAAAGAAAAGAACCGAATGCAAATGAATCCACGAAAATGACGAGGAAGGCGAGTTTGAAGATGAAGACAAAAATAATTACCTGGTTGTGTTCTCTACGGTGGATGAATCAGAGGTGAACGACAGAAGAATGATGAATCGATTGCAGAACGTAGAGGAATTGATCTCTGTTTTGGGCTTGTAAACAAGAACGAAAGGGGTAAGAAAAAGGGTATTAGCGTAATGATCAAAAAACTGAATGATTAAGCGTTCTTTTTTAGTCTGAATCACTCAGCCCCTCCAAATCATTCAGAGCCGTGATTTTGTACGAAACAAACACGTTGAATCGGTCCGATTCAGTGTTCAGATCTAAACGGTTCAATTCAGAACCAAACAAACAGGGCCTAAAATAGTATTATATCAATTCACATTAGACATCCGTTTTAATTTTAATGATGGAGTAACTTGTTTGTAATATTTTAATTAAATAATTTGTTTCAAGCTTTTAAAGAAAAAAACGTATTGTTATCAAACTTATAAAGCTTAATACACTTTTAAGTGTGTAAACAATACCTTAGACAGATTGCACAGTGAAGGGGGTGAACAAGACGGGAGCGGGGAGGTAAATGGGGAACAATGGATGGGGAGGGATTTTTTAATTTAATTATTTTTATTTTTTTATTTTTTATAAAAAATATTTATATTTAAAAAATCAAAAAAATAAAAGAAACTCCTAAAAGTACAATGAAAAAAATTTTTACACCTATTTTTAAAAAAAATTCTTTAAGTTCTAAATCATATTTCGATATATAATTTATACACTTAAAATTTATTTCAGTGTGTAGTTTATCTAAAAACATATTCATGAAATAAAAAGAGAGCGAGGCTGAGTTGTGACTGGTCAGTGTCTCAATACTTTTCCAGGCCCATTGCCTATTGGGTACTTCAAGAGTAGCTAACTTGACTCTTAAACAGTCACTTTGAAAGTTTTCTTATAGATTTACAAGACCTGACAGAAAATACGGTAAAAAAAAGTTGTCTAGGATAAAAAATGTTAGCTCGCATTGCTTCTCTAACAGAGAGACCCCTTTCATTTATTCGCTCCTTCAGTTACAGGTACATGAGAATTGTTCATTTGATGATGATAATAGGCAACTGTATTTTTGGGGTTTTCCTCCATCTCCCAACTGTTTGTTGTATGCATTAGTTTTATCAGACTGTTGATTCATGTGACTGTAGACTTGGTTATTCTCAGCTTTTAAGCACTTACAATGTCATGAAAAATGAGTACAGCTCATTTCTGGACACTTGACAGTGTTTCACTATGAGGCGTTTTTAATCTAACCCATTCTTTCTTTCTGCAATAACCTTTCATCAACTTTTAGGAGAAATGATAGAATTCCGAATTCCACCGGTAGAGAAATGAATTTCGAGGATTTGGATTCAGATGCTGCAAAACGAGTGAATCTTCGGCTGTGCAATGTCTCAGGGTATGTTGCGTTTATAAAGGTTCTGTTTTTATAAAAATGAAGTAAGGAATGAAATGAGCAGCAGGTGTATGAGAAAATGCTTACTAGAAAAACAAGAAGAAACTTTAGAGAGCTGCTGAATAGTGATGACCCATTTTTGTTTAGGTCAACACAACCTACATCAATCATTAATATCAGTTATTATTTACACGCAAGATTAGCTGACTCAGCTAACTGAAAAATGTTTTGACCAACTGCACTACAGAAAATGGGGAAAATGCTAACAAACATGCCAATTGACTGAAGACTGAAAAACTAAATTTGTTATAGCTGAACCAACTCGCCATGTCCACTAACTCTGCATTAGCTGCTTATCCTCTGATACATATCAATTCTCTTTTTTATTGGTCTTTTCTTGGACATCTTCACTGGACAGTTGCATGACTGAGATTCTGGAAATTCGTGCTGATCGTCCCTCACTACATGTTGTGTTCGTTCCTGGAAATCCTGGTTTGTTAATGTCATTGATGTACTATTTTGGTATTAGTTGAATTGTGAGAATTAGATGTTAAGTGCTTCTGATCATCTCAGGTGCTATTACCTTTTACAAGGAATTTGTGGAATCATTGTTTGAGTTACTTGGAGGAACTGCATCTGTATCAGGCAAAAGATTGAGAACCTTTTTCTTGTTCTGAAAGATATTATCATTTTTTATTTATTAGCCCTAATATTGTATTTAATAGTTGTTTTCATATGGTTCCGATCAGCTGTTGGCGCTGCAGGCCATACAGAAAAGGTACCTACAGCAATTCTTTGTAATCTATGTGCATCTCTATATGGTTTCCTAATTGTTTCTTTCTTCTTTAACCTCTGTTGAAGAATTGGGATCGCGGGAGGTTGTATTCCTTGCAAGAACAAATTGATCACAAGGTAACCTTCTAATTATTTATTTGGCTTTCAGAAAATTGGTAGATTGGAAGAATTTCAAAGTCTCTATCAAAATTGCCAATTATTCTCTATTATTGATTTTAATGTCCTGGATTGTTAATGAATATGATACATTTTGATTTA